AAGGCATGCAGTGGACAAAAGGTAGGGACAGACCAGGTTCTATAGCCTTGGATGGCAACTGGTCTACTGCAGAAAGAAATGGCAACCTACTGCAGGAAAAAAAAATCTGCCTTTTCAGTCATGTATCAAAAGATACATGATCGCCTAAACGTGTATCACATATGGCACATAACTGAAAGGTGAATAAAGCCTTTTCTTATTTTATAATTAAATTATTTACCGGTATAATGTTTTTTTTGTAGCTGTACTATATTAGAAATATAAACAAACATTAATTCAGTCAATATATTTAAAATTATGATTTATGAATATATTAAATATTAAATACTATTATATTTTTTCATCTTTATGCCAACATTGTTTTCATTGTAAAACCTACCAAATTTGGAATTTAATAGTCAATACAGATTTTTAAAAAACATTTGCTTAAATAAAAAACTTTTTTTTTTTTTGATAATCTAATAGATGAAAAGAAACATTTTATTAGTTTAATGTTTTTTGTTTTTTTTCCCTTGAATCCAATCCTAAACATAATAGTAAAACTTTCTTTCCAAAATAGACTTTAAAACCAATTCAAAATATTTTCTTTATTGGCATCTGCATGTCCATTATTCAAGAACAACAAAAATTGCAGACATGTTGTCCTTTATATAAATACAATTTGTTAAAAATAATTTTCTCCTGTAACTTTTTCATTATTTTTATTGTAAACTTTCCCCATTAATTAATATATGATTTGATGATTGCTCAAGGAATAACATATTAAATCTTGTAAAAAATATCCTTTTTTAATTATGTTTTAATTTTTATTATTGATTAGTTTAAAAAAAAATAATTTCTATTTTAAAAACATTTCAATTTTTTTTAAAAAAACTAAAAAGATTTGAAAAATACATAATTTAGCAGTTAATTAAAATTTAATAGCCAAATAATTCTTTTAACAAATGAGTTAAATCTTGCATATTCCACAGGCTTTATATATTTTTTGCATTGTTAGCTTATTTTATAAAAAAAAATCATTTTAATCATGTGAAGAGATCAAGGTATTCCTTTTTAAAAAAAATCAAAAACAAAAAAAAAATCAAAAAGTTAATTAGAATTAGTAAATTTTGTTAAAATGAAATATTTATTTCTTTTTTATTAAATATATATGAAATATATAACATATTCAAATAATGAATTTTATTGAAAAAAATGATTGCAAAAGTTTTTTGAATAAAATGAAAAAAATTTATATTAAAAGCCTTTACCCAAATATTATGCTCAAAATAAAATCTGGTATTATCAGTTTTTATTTTCAGTATATAATCAGTTTTTAATATAATTCAAGGGCTAAATAATTTTTGACCAAAAAGTATTACAGGACCTTTTTCAATAATTTAAATCTTCAATTCCAGAATAAAATACACATTTTTTTTTATTTTTTTTTTTTTTTTTTTTTGTTTCATGATGATTCACATATTATATTTTTTTTTTAAATCATTAATTTTGTAATTTTTGAAAATGAACTGTTGAAGAATCCACTGACCGGATTAATGATTGGAATTCTAGCCACAGTCCTCATGCAAAGTTCAAGTACATCCACTTCTATCATTGTTACCATGGTAGCAGCAAACAGTAAGTACTAATTCTTCTTTTTATTATCAATGTTATAATTGAGGAGGAGGGAGAGAAATAATAAGAATAGCCGAAGTCTTAAAGAAATACAAAAACTTGTACTCATTTTGTATTACAGCTTAACTTTTTTTTTTTTTATATATGTAAATTATGATTGGTTAGTTCTTTTTTTGTTTTTTAAAAATCCCAAAATACTCAATGGAAAATGTCATCATGCCACTTCTGACCTCAAGTCTCTGGTTGGGACCCAGAAGGAAATGTGTATACAACAGAAATCAATGGAAACAATAATAATAATAATAATAATATAGTAATGACATCAGATAAAAAAAAATATATCTACTAAAGACTATAATAAATATAAATAAGTTGAAATTTTTGCAATTTTTTTGAAAAAAAAAAACTATTATAACAATAAAAAAAAAATTAATTGAGTCCTATATTGAAACAAAAGAGCCATTATAAAAATTCCTGTTAATGCTGTTTATTTTGATTAAAAAAAAAATGCAAATTTGAATTTATCATCTAATAAAACGGAGTATTATCAAAATATAAAATAACATTCTAAATATCATTTAACATCATTAACTTTTTTCAAAATAACAGAATACATATATTTTTTTAATATAAGATCTATCTTGGGTAATTGTCAGAAAAAATTGTTTAAACAGGAAATAAAATATTATTCTTATGATAAAACTTTTTTTCTTTTCTGATTTACAAAAAGCATTTATAAAATTAAATAAATTTTAAAAAAACTGAATAATTTATCATTAACCACATAAAAATAATTATAAAAAAAATTTTTTTATTTATTTTTATTTGTTTATTGAAATAAGTAAAGAATTTTTCTTTTTGTAAATCAAAATGAAATTTATTTTTTTTTACAAAAAAAAAAAAAAATGTTAATAATTCATAAAACTGGAGATTTCTGTCAAGAAAATTTGAGTTTCTCCTGAAATGTTGTCATCCGTTAAAAATGAATGTTATAAAAATATATAAATTCTAAATTCTTTATATAAATTATGAAATGAATAAAAGAGTTTTAATTAACTTCTAAAATTTTAAATTTTAAACTTTTTCTCATCTTTGTTATCATAATAATTTCAAATTTTAAAAGGTTAAATTAATCAATGTATAATAATAAACTTATGAATAGAAATAATAATAATAATAATAATAATGTCAGATACATATTTTTATATAAAAAAAAAAGTAACAATTTTTATAATTGTGGATATAAATTTTCTGTTATAAGTGATCGATGTTAAAAGCCAATTTTATATTTTAATGGGTTTCCAACATATTTTTTTCCATTGACCAACACTGTCGTCTCAATGGCACAAATTAATGGGAATTTGAATTGCATTTCAAAGATCTTTTTAAGTTTTTGATACTGTTCATGATATGTTTAATTGGCTCAGTGTTATTATTATGCTTCCTTTGGAGGTCTGTACAGGTAAGTACCCTTAAATCTGATCTTAAAATTCATTACTCCATATTTTTAACAAAAAAAAAAAAAAAATGCTCTTTTTTAAATATCTTGTATATTGAGAATATCAATATCATATCAAAATATCACTGTATTTTTTTTTATTTTTTATATCAATTTAAAAATTTTTTTATAGTAAATCAAAAAAAAATATATAGCAGAGTAAAGAGTTCATTGAACTGTTGCTACCCAAAATAACCAAATCTATTTCAAAGTTCTACAAAGAGCAAAATTTTATCCAGTCAAAAAAAAAAAAAACAAAAAAAAGTTCAGCTTTTCTAAAGGTTTTATTATTTCAAATTGAATTTAACCTTGACTAGAAGTGTCTATTTTAATTTACTTATTTCAAATTTTTCCTCATTTTCTAAACAGTATTTTTTTTTAAATTTTTGATTTTTGTTTGTGTCTTTTATTTTTAATTTTATCCATGTTTAAGATTTTAATTTCTTAATTTTATAATCAAATTTCTTTAAGATCAAAATTTTTTCCCAATAAATAATTAGTCCATTTAAATTATTCCATCACAATTTGCAACTTTCCAAGAACTGTTTCTTTTTCTTGTTTGAAAATTTCCATAATATATGCTGGGCATCTTTATATATGTTCTGTCAATCCTATAACTCATTGTATTTATTAAAGTCCAGCTTTCAGCATTTATAAAAATGATTTTCTTGGTGTGTGTTTTTTGCCACTGGTTAAATTTAATTATTCTACATTTTTGAAAAGAAAAGGAAAAATTAGAGGCTTTTTGACATTTTTACATCTAAATATATTTGCTTTTGGCCTTTAATTTTTACACAAAAATATTATTCTTGCAGTATGTTGTTATTATTCTATTTTGTTATAAGATAAACCTGGTAAATAAATAATGAACCTCCAGTCCTAATGAACCTGGGTCAAAAGATGGCTTGTTAAAATGTTCAAAAATTAAAATTTTTTTTAATCATCAATAATTTTATTGCCTTTCAAATGGCTGATGCTAAAAGAGTGACTTTGCTAACATTCAGCTAATTATTGCTAATGCATGAAAATTGGTTCACTGTGTTGTGCATTTTTTTTCTATGTTGCAAATCTTTTCATTTGTCCATGCTTAAATATCTATCATCTGATTTACCCTGAGATCTTGATAAAATCCAAGAACCAGCAATGGTCCTGATCTGCTAACTTTCTCACTGCTGTAAGGAAATTGATTATAAATTTTGTTGGTAATTGTTCAGATGAGCAAAGATGCTATGGTCTTTAAAAACATGAAGATTTAGACTGCCATTGAATTTTTTGAGCTAGATCAATTGCTATGAAAATTTCTTTCACTTGTTGTTTTTAGACAATTTTTCTCTCCAGAATCTATCTTACATATCTATAAGTCTACCATTCATCCATGCTTAGAATATTGCTGCCATTCATATGGTCCAGTGCTCCCCTCTGCTATTTACCTTTTACTGCTCCTTGATAAAAAAATCCAAAATAAGAATCAAAAAAGTAATATTATTGGTCCTGATCTGGCACTCTTCAGCTTCAGTCACTTTCCCATGTTTGGTTTAAGGTTGCCTCTCTGTGGAGTTTTTTCTATAAATACTTTCATGGTAATTGTTCAGATGAGCTCTTTAGTGAGAAGACTATGGTACCTAGACTTTTTTAATTTAAGCACAGTACTAGACTGGCATCAAAATCTCATCAATTTACAGTTGAAAAATTCTGGCTAGATGTAACACATTAATTCTATGCTAACAGTTTTGTTTCTTGCACTTCTCATTTTATATATAAACTCCTTCCTGCTCCATGCTTTTTCAGCCAACTTTAATCTGCAAAAATTTAAATGCAATATCAATAACAGGAAATTCTATCTACTGAATCCTCCTGATTATTATGATCACAAAAAAGAATAACAAAAATGATTGTTCAGGTAAAAATTATTTGAACCAATTTAGTCTTTTATTAGATTTGGTGATTATTGATGTATAACTAATTCATGTTGTAGAATTTATAGGTTTACTGACTTTTTGTACAAGTAATTATTTCATTGTTTAAGTAACTACAAGGAAACATAAAACATTATATTAATTCCAAATAATAAAAATTTTTTTAAACAGCATTGTGAATTGTATATTTTACAAAAATATTTTTCACTTTTTTAATCAATTGTTTTGCTTCCCATCATCCAATGGAAGTAATATTGCTCATAAAAATCATTTTGTGAATTATTTCTTTTTTATTCATTTATTTTCACGAAATAATCATTGATATTTTCTTGTAGGTTGTAATTGTCTATGATTGGTCAATATTTTATGCAATTGTCTATTATGATTTGATCAATATTTTATTACAGAATTACAAAAAAATTCTTTTCAGTATTGTTTTTTTTTTTAGCAATATTTCTTATAAAGCTTTCATTGTTTCACAGTTGGACAAAAAAGTAATTGAAGGAATTGCAGCTGGGAAGACTGAGTGGAATGACAAGAGGATTCTTAAAGTAAGTAAAAAGAAATTTTATTAGACAATTTACAAGTAAATTATTAATCTTTTATAAATCCAACCATAGATAATTGGTTCAACAGAATGAGTTTGAAATGCTGTTCAACAGAACAAAGACTTTCTATGGTATGTTTTGTTAGAATTTTTATCATTATTTTTTTTTTAATCAATTCACCCAAAACAAGGCCACTAAGTTGCAAGGGGCTACTGGGAGTGAAAGGGAAAAGACTTTAGAAGGAACTGGAAACTCAATCCTAAATAGGAAACAAGTGATAAATCTCTATTCCTGTTCAAAAGACTAAGGAAGAGTGTGAACCAGACAATAGACAAATCCTTTTTTTTTACCAATAGCATTAATAAATGCTATTAAAACAGACATATATCATGGAAATGATAGAAAAATTAAAAATAAAAGTGAGGGTCAAGTATAACTACAACAATCAACAATTTAAAAAAAAAAGAAAAAACAAACAGCTGGTTTTCATTCCGCTGTCTTTAGAGCACAAAAATAAAATATGATTAAGAGATGGGGGAGGGATGAATATTCTAAATGAGAATAAGATATACATATTATTACCAATATATATATATATATATATATATGTGTGTGTGTGAATATATATATAAAACAATACTGTATTATTTCAAACTATTGTTCTCATCTCAATTGATAGAGATGTTATCAGAGACACATTTCGACCAAGTATTCTCTGGTCATCATCATGTATCCATTGATAGGCTGATATGGAATATTTGTTGATTATTGTAACATCAGTTATTGTTTGTTCTTGCTGAATCAGGGATTCACTACCAGACCCAGGGATTGAACTTATGACCTCCAGATGACAGTAACCCATGAATAACCAACTCTTATATCCACCAAGAATATTGACAATTACTCATCTCAGAAATAAAATACTAAAATATATATCACAAACAGATAACATTAAGACCTAACAGCCATTCCTGTTCACAAAGAAAAGGTGGTAGAGATTTGATAAATATAAACTTTCAAATGGAAATCCTAATGAAATTGTCTTAAAGCAGAAAACATATCCTCATGATAGGACACAATATACTCAAATACTCCAGATGTATTCACACATTTAAGCAAATCCAGAATATGACCCTTACATATACAAGCTGGCATATGTTCATTCTCATCTACAAATGTTGACCGGTTCTACCTATATTCAGTATTACATTGACATTTAAAATAATAAAAACAGAACTTAAATTGTTTCTCTTGTCCTATTTTTTTTTTAATTTCTTTATTTTTATACCAAGTATAAATGATTCTTGACAAAAATATCTTAAATTTACAAAAAATAAGGAAATATTTAAATGACAATTTGATGTATTTCATATATATAGTGTGCGATGGGTAAATTGTTGCCATTTCATATTTTTAATTTCACACATGCACAATGTTTTTGATTTTGTCAGCTGCACAGTATAGTAGGGTCAGTTGGGCACCATCTGTGAGAAAAAGAGCACTATCATGCAATTCACTCTGCCAGAAATTTGGAAATGGCATGCTGTACTGCTTGGCATTTGTGCCAGAAGCTCCAATATGAACATTTCAGTGTTTGGGTGTCAGGCTAAGTACAGTGCAGAGGGTTTAGAAAGAGTTGAAGGAGTCTAATGATGAAGGTATGGCAGCTTGGAAAACTCACTTTGATCATTCTGATAAGAAAAAAATTCCCAAATTTGTTGGTGAGGATCTCAGAATCAACATGGAGGCCAACATCAAGAGCCTTGAGGAGGCAGTGCTGCCCTGGGTCAAAATGGTGGCTGCTGGAAGAGCCTATGTCTGACAACAAGACTCTGCACCATGCCACACAAGCAGGAGAACCCAGTCATGGCTGTCAGACAATTTCTGCAAGGGACCAACAAAACACCTTGTAATACTGAAGACAAGGATTTTAGCTGCATTCACCAACTTAAACAAGGAGACCATCCAGAAGAGTTGCAGGAGATTATGAAGTTGTCTGGAGTCCAGAAAAAGAACCAGTAATTTTGGTACCTAATAACTCTTACGATATTAAAATTTCTTAATGCTAAATTAATGTTAAATGCATGAATATAGGTCAGGGGTTAGTGTATGAAACAACTGTTCAAAAATCTCATTATAAATATTGTTTTGTAAAATTTTGTTTTTAAACATTGGCATTATGAAATGTTTGTTATGATGACATGAAGCAACACAAAAGCAAAGTCCCTCTCTCTGGGCAGAATGTGTAGTATTGCGATTCATGTCCAGAAACCCCAGATTCTCTGAATTGAATTTAATGTTAATAAGGAACATTTGTTCTAAGAGGAGTTGATCTGTGGTGATCCCAATATATACTGGGCTCCCCCTAAGATTAGTTTAAAGAAAAAGAACAACCAAGTTAGAAAATGAAAACTAATTTTTTCTATTGTGTTACATCCATAAGTACTCTAATGTGATTCACACCAGATTGTCTGAATCAAATTTAATGTCAATAAGGAACCTTTGTTCTAAGAAGAGTTTATCTGTGGTGACCCCAATATGTAAGGCTTATTCTACAAGATACCAAAATAGACATTGCAGTAGCATGCCATGTGCATCAAAAGGTTGACCTAATAACCTCTAGGTGACGATATAGGATGTCAGTCACTGTCCTCAACATGTAAACAGGTGGAAAACCCAGTTGTGCCTATAGGTCAACCAGATGTCATGATATATAAATACACCACCTGATAAGGTAAAAAGTTTCTCACATCATTGCAAGAAGATCCATGTTTGTAGAAAGCTCTAAAGACAGATACCCATTCATTGAAATTAATTAACAATGTCTGGGTATGAATAAATAATTTTATGTATGAAATTTTATGTTTTCATTAGTCTATCAAATACTAAAATTACAAATGTATCCAGTCAATTATTAAATCCATTTAAAATTCCAGTACTTTAAGATTCCATATAAATTTGTTTTTTTTTATCTTATTTGAAGAATAAAGGCTTTCTTTTGTAGTTAACATGAATATAATGAATGCTTTTGTCTGCAGCCATTAATATCTTACATTTTGATAAAGGCTAAACAAATAACTAAAAATGCACATGTGGGACAATTTTTGAATAATTTACATATTCACTTTTGTAAAGAGAAATGATTTAAGAATGTTAAAGTAACATTCCTTTTCAACAGCTTTTAATCACACACATAAGATGAACAAGTTGCTTCCTGAGTATATACACACAAAAAACACGTAACTAAAAATATATATATATATATATATATATATATATATATATATATATATAATTTTCACATAATTCATTGTGTCTAGACCAAGAATCTTCAACACACACACACACACACACACACACACACTGGATGGCCATTTCATCCTTTTTGGGATTCAGCAGTAGCATACATCCTCTACCAACTCTGAGATCGAACATGGGACATTATATGATGCAAGTATCATACCAGTGGGTTACGCTTGTGAAGAGGAAACTAAGTTATTAGACACAATATATTGTAAGAAAAATTGCTATAGTTAGAAGTAAAGAGTGTTCAATATCAGAGTACTTAGTGTACATAGGAACCAACACTGTATAGTAATTGTTTCATGCATATAAGGTGCAACAATTTAATTCCCAGAATGTCCCTATGAAAGCAAAGTTTGCTTACCTGTTCACTATTGGCTGCTGTCAACCTCAGAGTACTCTCCTTATGACACTATGTACTTTGCGAAAAGATTGTGCCATTGCTGGAAAAATTTTTGGAACTCATTTACCAAAATACGTTTCAGTAATGTAGTCACATTGCTAGATGTCAGCAAATCTTTGTCCTTTCAATGCATTTTTCAATTTTTAAAAAAAGCCAAAAATCACAAGAGAATGTCTGGTGTATAAGGTGGATGGCTTATCTTTGTAATCATTTTCTTAGTTAGGAACTCCTGACGATATTAACACATCATGCAAAAAAGCATTATCATTGTGGAGGATCCGTTTGTCAGGTTAGAGTTTGTGTCTTTTTCTTTGAACAGATTCTCATATCATTTTCAAATAAATATATTCATTGAAAAAATTGCCATTATTTCTGTTTGTCTATTTTTTAAACCACAATAAAATACATTTTAAAAATGTTTCTCTGTTCCACCCAACATTTTAGATTTGGTGCAAGTACAAAGTAACAACTGTTCTTCAAAATGTAACTCAAGAAAGAAATTTCTCAGCTGTCATCAATGGAACTGTTGTAACTTCTTTGCAGAATGTCACACGATTGGAAAATATTTCTGTTGAAACAAATTCTGAAAAGTGTAAGACCTCAACCTTTTTATTACATAGTTTTTAGCTAGATTTTCAAAAAATGGATAAAATAAAAATAATTTTGATACTTTAGTACATATAAAAATATAAAGAGTTTAAAAGATTTCAAATAAAGTTATTTTTAATATCACATCTTAAACATTAAAATACAGTTAATAAGAGTTTTATAAGTGTTTGCTGATTCATATAGACAGGATTCACTCACCACACACCCAACTCCAGGTAGGCCACATAACCTGTCAATTCAGAAGCACCTACATACATCATCTTCTCTTAGCATAAGTAGCAAGATTGTCTCCAATGCCAGTTTACTAGGCCTACTGCATAGCTTAAAGTACCTGGTATTCTCCAGCAGTCACCGAAGTACTTATCAGTAGAGTCAGTGCAACAGTCTTATGTCCCCTACTATGATACAGCCTCTCCTCACTCTACTGCATCTTAACTTTTATAAGGTGGTATTCATATAAAATACAAATCTTATTGCAACCTAATTATGTACAATAATGAATCATATGCAATATAAGTGAATAACTAGAAAAATTGAAAATAAATACAATGTATCTAAAGACAAATTACAGACCTGTCATAAAAGATCATCTTAAATAAATCAACAATTTTTTGCAGCAATTTTTAACATCAGCTTGAGATTTTTCTTGTTAAAAAGTTGAATAATTTAACACATTTAACATTATAGATAAAATTAGTGAATTTTATATAGCATTTTTTCAAGACTTAGCATGAGCAAAACAAATTCTTGGATTTTCAGCGAAAAAAAAAATATTATGCACCTGCCCTCCTTGTCCAGGCTCAACATTGCTTAACTTTGATGACTGGGCAAAAACCAATGTTTCAGTAATTTTATAAATCAGGAAATGATTACTTTAATATTTTTAAGGCTCACGGGGTTCCTGTTCACACATTTAAATAAGAGAAAAATTTGTTAAATTCTTATGATTATAAAAAGCACAAATGGTAACATTTCAGAGAGGACATGATTTTATACAGGATTTTTTTTTCTATTTGGGTCATTTATTTACCCACCATTAGTCTATAGAGTTTATAAATCAATCTCCCATGATTTTATGTTAACATTAGATATTTTATTTTAGATGCATTTTGATTAATTTCTAATTGTTTCTTTCCAGGTTACTGTCTGCTGAGTTATATTGAGTGGAGTGACACCATATCTGGAGCTATCCTCTTATTCGTATCGTTATTTCTGCTTGTGATATGCCTCATGGGAATGGTCCGTTTGTTACATTCCATGTTACGGGGGCCAGTTGCATCGGCTCTGAAAAAGACAATCAACTCTGACATTCCAAAACCGTTTTCTTTTCTGACTGGCTACGTAGCCATTATCATTGGGGCTGGTCTCACAATGATACTACAAAGCAGCTCCATCTTCACCTCCACGCTGACCCCACTTGTTGGCATGGGTGTGATCCATATTGAACGAATGTACCCATTGACCCTGGGTTCAAACATTGGAACAACAGCTACTGGTCTTCTGGCGGCAATGGCAACTTCAGGAAACAGATTCCGGGCAGCTTTACAAATTGGACTCTGCCATTTTTTGTTTAATGTCAGCGGCATCCTCCTGTTTTATCCAATTCCATTTATGCGCAAGATTCCTATAAACTTGGCAAAGAAGCTGGGAAACACAACTGCCAAATATCGTTGGTTTGCCATCCTTTATTTGGTGACAGCTTTTTTCTTCCTTCCTGCATTTGTCTTTACTCTTTCACTGGCTGGTGCCGAGGCAATGATTGCAGCTGGTGTCATCCTTTTGCCTTTTATCACCTTTGTTATTATTGTTAATTTCCTCCAAAAAAAGTACAATAAACTTTTACCAAAAATGCTGAAGAACTGGGATTTCCTTCCCCTTTGGCTGCACTCTTTAGAACCTTTAGACAAATTCATCACAAAATGTACAGGAATTTGTAAATCCTGCCAAAAAAAATTGGATCGTTCTGTACCTCCCCCTGTTGTGCTGACCCCTTTTGCTATCCAAGGTGACATCAGTCCACTCAGCTCTCGTCAAAGTGAAAACGGAAGCCCAGTCAGTTCACGTTCCACATCTCTATTAATACAAAGGACTACAACTTTATAATAATGTAGGATAAATAGTTTATAATTATTCAACCATTTTTTTTTATACCACAAAGATTGCTTGACATTTCTTAATTTTTTAGTCAAAATATTTCCATTACTTACTGTTTAACTTGTGGAGAGAAATATAATCATGATTTGGAGGTAAAATTTAATTCCACTCTATCAATAGTAACAACGACAATAACAAAATATCTTGTGGACAATGCTGTCTTTCACTGCTGCATATGTTTCTAAATACCATACTTTTTCTTTTTTTATCATTCATTTATTTAACAAAACTCATTACTTATTTTTGTTTTCTTATTTTACATTCATTTTTAATTGTAAAAAAATCATGTTAAAAAAAAGCATATTTTGAAGAATCTGGGTTGGGAAAGTAGTTATTGTTGTGGAAAATAAAATCATGATTGTCCTTTGAAAGATATGAAGACAACATTAAGAAAAACTGAAAACGTGTTTAAAATTACTTCTGAACAAAAAAAAAAAAAAAAAACGAAATGCAAAGTGATAATATAAGAAGGAAAGTAAATAAAAATACATTGATTCACATTGAAACAAAAAGGAACAACCATTGCAAATGAAAGGAAGATAATCTGAAAGGGAGATAACCGTTGTTAAAATAAGTTAGATTAATTTTTTATTTGTACAATGAAGTTGTTTCAAGCAGTAATGAAGAATTAGTGATATTTTTGTTGTCTTGCAATGTAAATGTGATATTTAAAACCCAGTTTTCCTCTCTCCAAAAAACAAAATATTTTAAAAATAATACATTTTTAGGTATTTTCCATAACCATTATCATTACATTATCTATGAATGAGAAAAATCATTATTATTGCCATATTTGCCTGAGAAATAATAACTTGTTAACAGGCCATTATTTTTTCATAAATCAATTAAAAAAAAAAAAGCAAAATCAATCTAAGTGTTTCCTTATTTAGATGAATATTATGTAAAGGAGAGGAGGTAAGCTTACCTTATCAAGTTAAACAATCATTAAAGACAGAATGAATGTTTAGTTGATGAGAGAGAGTGAATAAATGTTTGTAAAACAACTTATAATTGTTGACAATAATAATTCAGTGAAGTGGGGAATGAATGCTTGCACAAGACTTGAATAATAAAGAAAGAAAGAATTATTGGGAAAACTAGCAATACCACGTGACTGACCAACGGAACCAAGTGAAAATGAAAAGACAGTGAGAATACCATTTTAACAAATTTAAATGAGAGGAAAAAACTGGCATAAAATAATAATGACAATCTTTAACCTTCATGCCTGCAAAAAAGAAAAAAAGACATTGTGTCAAAACTCAAAAGGATGGTTTTTCTATTTCCACCACTATTATTTTTTTTAACTACCTTTGCTCTTCGGCAATGTTTATTGTTTTAAAATTGGAATAATAAAACGTAAAGTCGTAAACATATGATGAAAGTGAATTTATATTTATACATTTTTTGGTTCTTGAGAATTTACAATAAAAATGAAACCCTATATTTATTATTTATGTACAAGAATAATTTTATTTTACAATATTAAAAACTTAATGCAATATTTATCAATTTATAAAAAAACAAATTAAATATGAAAACAATTTTTTATTCATAAATTCACAATCATTTACTAATAACTAAATTATTAAAATATGTGAATCATTTATAAAATTACAATCATTTAAAATATGTGAATCATTTACTAAATTATTAAAATGTGAACCAAGTAAAGAAATCTTTATTATTTATCATTTTATCAGTTCGAATCACTTGGCAATTAGCTGATATTTTAATTAATATAACCATTTATTTCAATAAACAATGTGTAATAGTAAAAAACAATTTAATAATGTAATTAAGTGTTTATTGTTTTTGTTGCACATTCTCAACAAAGAAAGAAACGTTTAAAAAAGTTTAAATTCATTTTCATGTTTTAAGCTTTATTAAAATTTTAATCAATCTAATCCTCGCTTTTTAAAACAACATTGCCGAGGAGTGAAGGTAGTTAAAAATAAAATAATAGCGGCGTCAAGGGAAAAATCGTCATTTTGACACTCCATTTTTGTTTCCAGGCACGAAGTTTAAAGATTGCCAAAATAATCATTGAAAACAATGAAAGAAAATCACATTAAACGAAAAAAAATAGGAATAATTACATCAAACAACAGATACAGCAATAGGAACGTTATTTGTATTTGACAATAATGTGACAATATTGAATAACTGATTCTAAAAACTTGTTTTAAAAGAAAGTATAGAAAAAAAACTATTTAACTTATGAAAAGTCTACTCTAAATATTATATTTGTGTGGTAATCATTTCGTTTGATAATTACAACATAAAAATTTGTAATTAATTATTCTTTATAATCAACATAGATCATTTTGAAAGCGAAAATAGTGACGTAGCTTTCTGACAAAATTAAATTTAGCTTCTTAAACGGCGGTAAAAGGTTACACAGACGTTCACGCAAGCAATTAACTCACGGGCTTATTTTTGCTTTAATTATATTCAAAAACTATAAAAACGGTATTTTACCTCTTTCAGATAATAAAAATAAAAAAGGGTAATAAAGCATAAATGTTAAGTTCCCAAGTTTAATATTTTATCTGCATGAAACTCCTTGAAGCATTTCATAAATGCACATCTTTTAAGAGACAACTGTTGTCCCATTCATAAGACACAGCAATGTCTTTAGTTTGTTCTTCAAGCTTTCTTTGCAGGCAAATACTCCAGGAAATGACGTAACTTCATGAATCTCAGTAAATATTGTCGTGTACGTCAAAAATTATATTACAAGGCTTTATTCAACTCTAATGTACGTACATAATGCTAGGCTTAATAATCATGGCATCTGTTTTATCTAGAAAGAAACAAATCAAGGTGAATAACTCTCGTTCCCCCTCAGCTTTCTGATTCCGTGTTAAGATGTTCGCCGTTTAAAAGTGAAATGCGTTAGAAAAATTCATAAAATTATATTTTTTAATATAAATTTTAGTTTAACGAATAAATCATAAAAAATAAGGTTAATTTTCAAATTACGACCCGTGCTCAATTTGCAATAAAAATTTCACGGATACTTACATTTAAGTGCAAATGTACAAGCATCATTCAAAAATGACTTGATAAATTTGATAAGGTCTACCTTTTTGGAGTTATTGACAGTAAAATTCGGATTCATTCACGTCGAGGAAGCCATTACTGGCGTCGTTTATGTACATTTACTGCAGAATAACTATGAGTAGAATATTCACTTGTCTTGATTATTGCGCAATATAGTTCTCTTGAGCAGTAATTAAGACAAGTAAGACCAGTTAAAAAAAAAAAAAGTCAGTTAAGTACATTCTTCTGTGCTATGCTCTCCACAGCAAATATAAGCAAACAACGCCAGTAATGGCTGCTGCCAGCAACACGAATGAATCCAAACTTTTACTGTCAATAACTACAAAATGGTAGATTTTATCAAATTTATCAAGTCATTTTCAAATGAAGCATGTACATTTAACCCTAAATGTAAGTATTTGGAAAATTTTTAATGCAAACTGAGCATGGGTCCTAATTTGCAAAATTAACCAAAATTGATAGTTGGGTATTGCTGAAAAATTAAATAGAGGAATAATTGATTATATATTATGATTAAGTCAGTTGACTGACTGTAGTGCTAAATAATTAACTGCTTCAGTAAATAATTGTTTTATTGGTTGACTGGCAAAGTGAATGATGAAATGATTAATTTAATTGACTGATTATTAGCGGCCAGTTTCTCCTGGTTCAAGTACTCTCCTTCTCCAATGCTTAGCATATAATCATCTGCTGCCTCTGTCCATACCAAAATGCAACCCCAAATTCCAAACTGTTTTTTCCATGGGTGACCTCCTTGTCCTAAGGTGGGAGTAACACCATGTAATCATTGATCTCTGTCAATCATAAATAACCATACAACCAAGATGCTGAATTTGTTAATTATATTTATCTTCATAATTAGAAGCTAGTACTCTGTATACTAACTGTACTACTTGCAACAAAACAAGGAAAGAATGAAGTAATAATAATAAATAACTTTTTTGTATTTTTCTAAAAAAAGAAATATGAATTTTTTAAAAATCTAATGTGGCAGGGTGCGTATCAATGATTGATATCACAGAACTGAAGCAACATCACAAATGCAATGCAAATTATTTATATATATATATATATATATAACATGAATGCATCTCTTAAACACTCTGTATATAAAATATGGAGATTACTTGTGATCAGTTTTGATTGATTGTTTTGTTTTCCCCCTCTTCATCCGGTGGAGTGCAAATTTTTTTTTGTTTTTTAATCAATTTTTTACAAGGTCCCCAAGAGAAGGAAAAAAAAAAAAAAGAAAAAAAAAAAAGGTGATATGTGACCGACACAAGAGTTTAATACAAGGTCTTTCTGCATTGGTTTATTTTACTGTGATACAAAACCCTTGCCATATTTTTTAGAACTGTTTTTTTTAAAACAACACTATCTGTTTTAAGTTTATAGTTTTTCCAAAAAAAAATGAATCTGTCATTTTGTTCAACATTTATTCTGGTTTATTAATTTTGGAACATTCAAAACAAACACACTGTTGCATAACTGCACATGAGAAATGAACATTAAACTGTCTTTTAGTTTGTTTTTTTGCTACAGTTTTTATTATCATTATTATTATTAAGAGATGCTTTTTCTGCCTTTAGTGGAGCTGCTATAGTCAGCTATTGATTAGACAACTATAATTTTCCCAGTCAATTCTTGTCAATTGTCTCTTCTTCCTATTTGCCATTTTTGTAACAAAATATTAATGCTTTTTTTTTATTTTGTTGGTTTTTCATCACTCATCCTTCCATAATTCAACTGATGACCCCACAATACAAACAAGTGAAAATAAAAAAGACCATTTTTTCTGTAAAACAAATATTATCTTTTTATTACTATAAGACTTTTTTAATCAAATTCTATGAATAAATGTATGTGTATACAATTATTTTGTG